CGTCGCGAGCCCAACCCGCCCCAGGTGAGAGGGGCCGCCCCCGCGGACGCGGCCCGACTCCTGCCTCGCGCAGCGCTGGAGAAGCAGGAGCTGATTGTTAACACCTTTTTAGCGGTGACGTGCAATGTTAATATTATGCATCATAAAATGATTTAGCAACTCCATAAATAATATTAGGAATGGCACTACGCTACTTATTCTAATTGCTCCATTTCGGTTTTACTATGTGCTTTCTTGCAAAACGGGAGAGCCAGGAGGGGTTTTTGTGCTGGTAAGGTAAGCGAGAAGGCGCCAGAGGCCTTCGGCCGCGCAGGAGCGGGACACGGGCAAAGGCCGCAGACAGCGGGTCCCCGCCGAACGCCCCCGGAGCAGCGGGGACCACCCTGCCCTGCTCAGCGCCTGGCCCGCACCCAGGCGCACGGGCAAATCCGCGCCCAGGAGACCTGCAGCTGCTCTGCGAGAGGCCTTGGAAAACTGCAGGACGTTCATCCACGTCTTACGTTGACACGAGGTTTGGGACAGATTCAGAGATGGCGTAGAAAGGATTAAATAATCCAACTTTTTTTTTTTTTTTTTTTTAAATCATTTCCCATCTGTGATAAAGCCCGTCTGGGAAAACCAGCCAAAGATCATCCCCCGTTCCGCTGCACGCGTTGACGGGCGAGGTGGGAGAGGCTCCTTCGAGCCCACATCGGGGAAATAAGGAAGCAGCCGTGGGAGCGATGGGGTGAGCTGGGCCAGCGCAGGGTCCGGCTGGCGGCGCGACGGGGGTGGTGAGAGGGGAAGCGCTCGTTGCACTTCATGAATAACGATGAATAATCGGCTTCTGAGAGCGCAGAGACGGGAGTAAACACGCGACCTCCTCCCGAGGCCTCCGGGGAGGCAGCCACTCCAGCCCTAGAAAGGCATCCTTGGCGCGACAGGACACGGTGGGAAGAGCGCCCGAGAAAGGACTGCTGCACTTGGCCTATCCTTCCTAGGCTTTCAAGTCTTCAAACAAACGCACCCCGAACGGGCTACCTTGTTGCCAGTGAAGGGAAGCACTAGAAAGGACAAATGGGAACGCAAAATTTACTTGGTTTTTTTCTTCCCCTCTCTCCCCCCTCTTCCTCCTCTCTTCCTGCTGCTATGCTTACTTAACCTCCAGGTACCCGCTTAAATAACTCAACTAAATAGTAATAATGAACGGGCAGAGTCAACACTGTGGTACATAATCACCTTGTCTGTTATGTTTAACATCAGTGATCCCTTCTTGGCGTGCATGACATTCTTCTGCCTTCGCCTACGCTAAGGATTTGCTTTTCACTTGGTTTGCGTTTGCCTACGTACGCTGCACCCGTGCGCACTGTCATTTCCCAAAATTAAGTGGGGATTCTTCCGAACATCTTCCTTCTCTGGGAATTTCTAGGAAATTCCAGGAAGCATGAGCAATCACTGCGCTCACTTCTGAGCAGCTCGTCCCAAACCCCCCCCTCCTAGTTCCCAATTTCCTCGTGCAAACGAGTGTGCAAAACCAACAGCTTACTTCCATGAATGACTGTAGGAGAGCGCTGCAGACGCTCTACCCTCTTTCAAGCCGCCCTGCTCTAAGCATTAATTCTACAATTAGTTTCAAAAAGGAAACAGGAACTGCTAAAGTTTCAGATCTTTATAGCTGCCACCAAGTATTTTTACAGGAAGGGTCTACAGCGTTACTGCTGAGAAAATTCTTAACTTTAGATTCAAAAAGATATTGTTTTAAGAGAATTATCTTTTTTTTTTTTTTAACTACCCTTTTTTAAAGCCCAGGTTTTGAAACAGGGTCGCTGTGGCAGGACTCCGTGTTGCGCTGACGTAGTCGCAATTTTGTCAAATAGGGATCACATTAATGAGAGATAAAGTGAAAGTTACTGTGTATAAACTTAGACCACAGCAGAGCTAAAAATAAGCCTGCAAATATACATCAGAGTTGCACAACAAAACATCAGCAAAGGAAATACAAAATTATAGACTTTGTTTTTCCTTTTTGTTTACTTCTTGTAGTTTTAACTTGCTGTATTTCATAAGCTTTCCAAAATGGTTTTTCTTCTCCTGAAGAACTTACATATTTCCCCCCCAAATTCACCTTCCGTTTTGTAAACCATTACAGACGTTAAGTCACCTGTCTACAAGAAGCCCCACTGAGTAAGGATCACTCACGCACAGATTTCCAAATCAGGCCCCTGAAAATTTGCGCCAGCGCGTAAGACTTCCTGGCTTCCAGTTAAAGCAGCATAAAAAGTAAAATCAAATGTAATTCACTAGTTGCCAGCTAAGAAAAATTACTAAGCTGAGCACATCACAGCCATTTCCAGACTACAAGTGCATCCAGAACAATCGCCCAAACTTTTCAAGACGGAGTTCGTAAAAAGAAAAGGGGGTGGGGATGGGGGGGGTAGTAATATAAAAGTCAAGACTACAGTTCTCATTTAAACTAGGGGAAGTTTTGCCTGTGCCAAGGCAGCAGGATAAAGCAGTAAAAGAGCTGACGAATAAGTTGGAAAAATATAGAGCCGTGTTTTGTCCTTAGCTGTTCCAGAATAAATCCAGATTTATGCTGGTACAACTGAGGGCATAATCGTCTCACAGCCTCAATTTGCCAGTCAAGCAATGCTGCTTTCTGAACTCGATGAGAAACAATCTCGAAGCAACGAGATCACGGTCATTATATTATTCAGTTATGTCACGGCCTTGATTTTAGAAGAGTTAGCGAGGGGGTGAGAGGAATCACCAGGATGCGGCTAAAACCACTCGCCTTCAAACTTCTCATCTGTTTCACAAAACAAACTATCCCCCCTCATTGAAAAAAAGGCGGAAGAAAAACCCATTCCAATGAGGGTCTTTTCAAAAAGAGAACCCAGATGATTTGTAAGGACGTATCGACACAGGCACAGAGAGAAAATAAAATCCTGGCCCCCCCTGAATTCAATGGGAGTTTTGCAATTGACTTCAGATGGGCCAGCGCTTCACCCCGAGAGCCTCAGACCCGTATCTGCTATGCATCTACACCAAAAATACTGTCAATTCAGTGCATTACGTTTATTTGGCTTCGAACACTTAACCCCTAAATCCCCAAGCTTTCACGCCTTACCCAGGCAACATTTCTACTCATCCCAGTACGGGTTCATCCCGGACAAGTGCACAGCCCTGCGTCCCAGGGAGAGGGGGGTGAGTTCTCGCCGCGTCTCAATACGCAATTCAGTAGCACCTAATTATTTTATCCAGTCTCCGGCTGTCGTTGATGCACACTGCCTGCTTATCAACGTATTCACACAAACTAAATAAATTTATCTCTCCTAATATGTTCATTTTTAATGGTTTTCAAACATTCACATGGAAACAGCTCTAGCGTAAATATCCCAGAACAAATGGCTGTATATTATACAGGAGGGAGCAGTTGGGCTGCCAGACTGGGAATGCACCAGGCCATCTGGCTCAGGCAGTCTCTCCAAAATCCTCAGCTTTGTTTTCACCCTCAGACTCCAAACAACACATTTTCCACTGTGATGAGTTTACATTTTCCCAAACACAGGTCCTGATCATGCATGCAAATTCCAAACTTCGCCGTTCCTCTCCGCACAAGAAAATTAAAATCACCTGCACTTCTAACATAGCACCAAAGGAACAAGAAAGCCGCTAAAATCTGGTGCAACGTAAACTTTCTCCATCACAGGGGTTAGGTTTTGTTTTATGTTTGTGTGAAATTTCTCCGATTCTGCTAAGGCTCCTCTGAACTTATTGATAACATTTTTTTTCCCATGCATGTAGCTGCCAGGGAAGGGCCATGCTATGCACAGAACAGAGCTGATCGAATATCTGCATGCATCACAGAATACGATAGGGAAAAAATCAACAGAAAAATCATTTGCATCCAGAGTTTAAATTACTGAAAAAAAGCAAAACATAAACACAGAGTCTGAGTTTGAAGGAAGCATTTTTGACTCATGAGGGCTCTCAGCAATAGACAATAGCTATCTCACAAAACTTATGACTTTTAAGATGCCTGAGCCGTATTACCATCCGTTATATCTTATGGACGAGAACGGCAGGAGGAAAAATGGGTGGGAAACAAGTATTTCAGATTTATTTCCTTCATCTTTCCTAATAGTGAAATATCTCAACTTTATGAAAATATAACCGAAGAAATAGAAGGCATCTCTTTTCTGTAAATACATTAAAATCCTTAGCCTTGCCTAAAAACTCCAGTTTTATTAGAGCAGGCATATTTCACATTTTGCAGGCAATTTCAAAATGCATCATTGTTAGAGCCAGACCTACTGCAGTAGAAGCTGCTGGTTTACTGAAAGCAACAGCTATAAAGTTTGGGATCCTACGGGGTTTTGGACGCA